GAAGCTCTTCGATGTGCTGAGGCGACAGTACGATAACCTCTCCCCAATCACAGTACGCCTTGTAGAGCTTGTTGCCGAAACGAGACCTTCCCTCGGCCAACAGTGCAGCACTTCGGGGGAAGAATTCGGAAACTCGACGTCTGTTGGTGAGTTCAAAAGCCTTCTTAGGGTTAAGCTCCGGGAGATTGCTCTTTTGGTCACCAAAGGCGCGCGCAAAAAACACCAACACGGCCAGAGTGAGAATATAGACGGCCGGCTGGTCAGCAAAGGGTATGTCAACCCTCAGCTCCTCCCACCACGTTGGCCGAGAACTCATGTTGGTAAAATTTTCGGGGTCGCAAGATGTCAGGCAAAGAGTTCAAATGCTGCGATACAGAGGAAATAGTCGTGATGTAAATCTGGCTGGGCTTTAAATCTCCTATTTTCAATGAAGTAACTGAGCGTTTTATCTAGAATCTCTACAGTGATGCATTTGATACGCGTGTAAGTCGAGTCGTATTCTACGCCCTATGCAGCCGCCGTAAAGACCGGAGTCCGGCCGCTGGGCTCCCCCGAATGCGATACCGAAATAAGCATCTTCCCCGGCTACTTGCTACGCTCATACTCAGAAGCCCGTCCCCGCTGACAAAGCTTGCAGATCGTGAGCTTGCGTAAAGTGCGGAGCAACTGCCGGCACGGATAGCTCCTTCGATAGACCGGAACGTGCATCACGGGCCGCTGGAAGGACTCCGGTGCATGGATCTGAGGGAGTAAGCCACCGGAGAAAACCCACCGCACGATGAAGCAGCGCTGCATAGTAGCCGAATTGGGGCAGTAAACGGCACAAACTAGTCATAAACTGCCAATTGCGCACAGTTTGATATGATAGAGTCAGGTCAAAGAACACCAGGCCGTCGTTCCAGGAGCATTTGGCACGAACGGGCATGTCGCATACAGGGTTTGGAGTTGTCCCGGCCTTTGCCATCAAGAGACCTGAGAAGTTTAACTTTCAAATCTCCAATTTGCAAATCCAAACCCTCACAACACTTCTTCGACTTTGTCCCATAGCTCCAGAAACATGGTACAACAAGCAAGAAGATCTCGAATCTGGCCTCAGTCGCCGATGGATGATCGAGGCTAGAGATGAATGGCTCGAGTTCAACTTCCATCAATTCGAAAACGACGTCAACCTCTTTCCCAACTTCAGAATATCCATCGAAGACCCTGACCATGGTACAGTACCAATACACTTCGTTGGTCTCTTTTCAAAAAAGCATGATGCGATTCCGATTATCTTCATGCATGGCTGGCCAGGATCCTTCCTTGAATTTAGACCAATGCTGCGACTACTCACGCAAAGATTCACCCCCGAAACGCTTCCTTATCACATCATAGTGCCCTCCATACCAGGTTACGGACTTTCGTCAAGTGGCAACCTGGAAAATGAGCTCACTCTGAATCAAGCACCGCGACTGATGCACCAACTCATGATGGAGCTTGGTTTTGGTACCGGGTACGTCGCACAAGGAGGCGACGTTGGTAGCAATCTGGCTGGACAGATGTCCGCAAGATTCAAGGAATGCAATGCTTATCACCGGAAGCAGACAGAACCAAGAAGTGCGGAGATGGGGCATGAACTAATGCACACATAGTAAACTTCTTAGGCCCCGAACCTGGGGACGATTTGGAGACTGCGCTGAGTCCAACCCCGGAGGAACAGGAGCAGATGAAACGAGGGAAGAACTTTGCTTTCAGTGGTTCTGCATACGTTTTCAAGCACGGTTTCAGACCAGCTACCATAGGCCACTGCATTGCGTCGAGCCCAATTGCGTTGCTAGCGTGGTCAGTCATGTTTTATTTAGCTTTGTGCCCATCCACCTGAAGCACCCGCTGATTATTGCCATGAAGGATTGGTGAAAAATACGTCCACTGGACCGATCCCTTCCACCGACTAAGCATGCAAACCATTCTCGAACTCACCACACTATACTGGTTGACAGAAACATTTCCACGGAGTCTCTATCCGTATCGTCACCTGGCTCCAATGCTAGCATCCGGTGACTCGCTTTCAGTCAGCAAGTCTACGATAAAGCCATTCGGATATGCGGCATATCCCTTCGAGTGTGTTCTCATGCCAGAGACATGGGCACATCAGGCGTATCCCAATTTAATCCATTACAGTAGACATGACAAGGTAAGACAGACATGACGTCACGCTAGTGTATGGGTCTAAATCTTGATTAGGGCGGGCACTTTGCAGCTCTAGAGCAGCCTGAGATTTTCCTTGATGATGTGCTCAGATTTGTGGAACTGGTAAGGTCAAGGGGCATTTTCGTGTAAAAAGCCTCAAAAGCTTTGCCTGGAATATATAAGGTCTACTTACCTTAGCTAGAAATACTATCTAGTATCTGTTCATATTTAGTATGGTCGTGCCTGAGGTCCAAAGGAAGCAGCAGTCTTCAATTCTGCACAAGAACCTGTCTATGTCCTATCACGCCTGCAATTTACAAGTGCTAAAAACTATGGAGACAAAGAATAGAAGATGTTCAAAACTTTTGCGGCCACTAAACTCCTAACCAAATGAACTTTATGGCACTTGTCTGCTCTGCTCGTGTACAGTCATCCCCAAAGACCAGGAGTCCCACAATTAAGTTGCAAAAGCTGCAAAAGACAGTTTGTTTCGCCCTCTCACCGAGGCACAGACAACATCATTTAATGATGCCTGAACAGATCAGTCGTTGGAAGCAGCAACAGCAGTTGATTTCCGAAGTTTGATTGCCTTACATAGCCACCTCTTCCTAATGAAATAAGTAGATATGTCCAGGTTGCGCTAGACTGTCGTGGATAGAGCAACCGTCTATCTCGTTTTAGACCCTTAAGAGTGATAACGCGTCAATATTCTCACCGCTTTTTGGAAATATCTGCAGGATTTGTAAGAAGTGTTCGAAAATGGTCTGCGATCCTTGGCCACCCCCCAATCCGCCCCAGAGGAGCTCAATCCCACCGGCTGAGATCGGTGATTCGGTCCGTGCCAAGTGCCGAATTATAAATCACAGGGTGTATATATGTATTGCCATCTTGTTCTGCTTCAATGATACAATTTCATTTCAAAGCAGCATCAGAACTTCAGCGTCCGAGCCCTACACCGGATAACTAGACGACACCGCATCAGCCAGCCAACCGGAAATAATACCTACCAAAACTGCAACAATATGACAGACTCAAAGGTTTGGCTGATCACCGGGACAACCTCGGGCATGGGGGCTGCCATGATGGAGCAATTCGCCGCACGAGGCGACCGGGTGATAGCAACTGGGCGCAGCGCAACCGTCAGACTTGCAGATAAGAAGTCGAGCAACATTTTCCCTTTGGATCTGGATGCTACTGCCCCGCTAGCTGTTGTCAGAGAACAGATCGAAAAAGCCATCCAGGTCTTCGGTCACATCGACTTTGTTGTCAGTAATGCCGGCATCTCAGTTCCTCAGACGATTGAAGAGGCAGAGTAAGTACCTATCTGAGCTTATTGTGACAGGAAGTTGATTCTGATAATCTACTCAGCGACGCCTTCACCCAAAAGATGCTTGATACCAATCTTATTGGTGCAATTAGGCTTGTGCAGGCCGTGCTTCCTCATTTCAGAGAGAGGAAGGCCGGTACGTTCGCCTTCATTGGCTCTGCAATGGGCTGGCAAACCTTCCCGTTTTTTACCCATTATGGTATCACCAAAGCTGGCCTCTCTAGTAAGTCATAGAGATTGTCCTTGATAAACGTACACGAGATCGCTAATTGTCGAAGTTTTTGCTGAGAATCTCCAAAGAGAAACCGCCCACCTGGGACTGCGGGCCGTTGTTTTCGAGCCTGGAGCCTTCGTCACCGGCATCGGGCAGACGAGGACCGCGGCTGATGAGGGTCTGGGAGGGGCACCTAGCATCTCCGACTACCAAGGCTTGTTTGGGGAGATAATGGGAAAATTTTCCTCGCCGGAAATGGCGGAAAGTATTCCATCTACCGTTGAGAAGCTCCCTTCGGCTGTTTGGGATGTAATCAAAAGCGAAGGTATGGCTTCGGGGAAGCCATTCCCTATTCGGGTACCCTTGGGTCTCGATGCGTTGGCCGTGGTTAGACAGAAGTGCTACGAACAACTCAGGCTGTGCGATGAGTGGGAGAAGGTCGCCCTCAGCACGACAAAAGATGGTGCGGATACCACCCCGAACAAGTATCTCCTGGAAAAGATGTCAATTATGAACTTGACCAAGTAAGCCACAAATGGGAGACTCGGAAAGAGTGACGGAATGCCGAATGGCATCTCATCTTCTGTTAAGTAGTAACCGCCGGGGCATATGATAGTTGTTTTTGATTAATCAATATCACGTGCGCTGAGAACTGCACTTTGCCTCAATGCCGGTGGGATGCGCCCAAAAGCTTTCGGACGTAAGGTATGCAAAAAGCTTCCAATACTTGCCCGCAGGACATCCGCATCAGCACAGAGCATCGATTGTCCAGCTGGAGCGACGTCTGCCTTGAAGAGTTTCGGAACACATCGGAAAGGTTCCGAATGTTATCCTTACGGTTAGCTGATTCTACATGTCCATCTTCACCTGGCAGTAGATCTGAGTAAATGACAGAGTCTATGCGTGAGGGTCCCGCAGCAGTGATCCTCAACTACAACCATCGGCGGGTAGTTATACCAGATTGGGAAGGTACATGCGCCCCGAGGACGCTACCCACCCATCACCCCTTTCTTGATAATCAATACCACAATAAACATATGGGGTGCAAACAAGCAGTCAAAATAGAGTTCAACTGACTGTTTTCGTCCAATGGTTCTGGGTCCATAGAGAACCAGATCGTGGTTCACACCTATCACGGGCGACGTGCAGACTATGGCGGCGTGGCCTCGCCCCCCTAACAGGCCCCGTTAGTCCTTTCGAACAACAGGTATATAATGAGCATCGATCCTCGCTTCAGCGTCATGTCTGGAATTCAGACAACCATCTCATTCATCCGTTGTTCTTATCATCATGCATCTGCTGTTCACACTATCGGCGGCCCTTGCTGGCGCTGCCATGGCCCTCGATCCTATATGCGACAGCGAGTGCCAGGCCAGCTGCGACGCGGAATGCCAGACTGCCATCCAGACGACCTACGAAGCAGAGGCAGCACTTTGGGTCGGCGACATTATCTCTGATCCTTTCTATTCGACACCTGCCAACGTCACCGGAGCCAAACCTGGAGATATTCTCCGCTGGGAGAACGTCCCTGCAGCTCAGCTGGCTTCCAATTGGACACTACCGGCCAGTCTGTCGCTCTCACGCGTTCTTTACATGACCGAGGATATCGATCGGAAGCCCATTCCGGCCTCGGCTTGGGTTCTCTTACCATTCACCAACCCGTTTGCCAACCCCCAGGGAACGCCGGAGGAGAACAAGCTGCGAACCATTGTCTGGACGCACGGAACAGCAGGCCGCAGTAGACTCTGCGCTCCCACTAACAACAAGGGTCTGTACTACGACTGGAAGGCTCCCTTCATTCTCGCTGAGTCGGGATATGCTGTTGTTGCTCCGGACTATGCGGGTCAGGGGTCAGACATCCCCCAAGGATTTATGTACGAGTCTGGATTCCTCCATGCTGCTGATGTCGCCTATGCTCTCATTGCTGCGAGGAAGGGCCTTGGAGATATTCTCAGCCAGAAGTGGATGGTTTACGGTCACAGTGAAGGCGGAATGACTGCCTGGCGAACCAATGAGCGTTTGGCCATGCCTGACCAAGAGGCCCTTTTGGCTGCCGGCGAGTTCGTCGGTTCCGTTGCGGCAGCCCCTGCCCTGCGTCCTCAGAAGCTGATCCCAGCAACGCTTGAACGAGCTCAGGGCCAAGCCGCTCGGGACCCCTTCTCCGTCTACTTCCTTCAGTCTCTCTCAAGGCTTTACCCAGACCAGATCAAGGTAGAGGACTACCTCGGCGAGATTCCTCTGCAAAGACTCGGAGCTCTGGACAAGTCATGCTTCCAGACAGGGTTTGCCATTGTCGGTGGCTTTACGCCTGATCAGCTTTACAAGAACACTAGTTGGCTTACGCATCCCGCAACAAACGACTGGGCCGTCCGATACAACGGTCAGGGACCCCATGCTATTGCGGCTCCCATGCTTGTTATCCAGGGCTCGACAGACACAATCACTCCGGCCAACCTGACATTGGACGACTTCAACCAGACATGCACCACCTTCCCTGAGAGTCCAGTACATGCTCGCGTGTATCCGGATATGGGACACGGTCAGGTTTTGGAGGCCGCCAGGGCTGATGTCGCTGCTTGGATCGCCGCGAGATTTGAAGGAGTTCCCGTTGAGAAGACCTGCGTCCACGAAGACGTCAAGCCGTTCACCGATCGCTACGTACGCCGTGGGTGATATTTTCTGGCAAGGCACGGCTGTGCCCTTCTAAAGGCCAAGTATGCTTGGGAAATTGATGCAGTTGATAGTCCACTTTCTGTTTACCATCGAATGCAGACTAGGACAAGTCTATCACTTCTATGTACATAGTTAACGTAAAAGCCTTCGTACATCTCATTTCATCGCCATACCGTGTCAGCTCCCAAGTCGTCCGAAGTTCAACTTCTTTTCTCCTCTCCTCTGTCGCCAGTAATTTGTTCCTTCTAGTATCTCAGGGCATCCGCGGATGAGCCATGCCCATTTTCTGAAGAAGGCTTCATTTGCCTCCCATCCCCGAGGGTCCCAGGACTCGCCCCAGACTAAGAGACGAGGTCGCTCATCGCCATCATTAGACTTGTGGCCAACGCCAAAGACATCAGCACAGAACTCGTCCTCGTCGAAGAAGCCAAGATCTTCAGCCCGTATCGCACTTTCCCTTAGCGAGGGAATTGGGAACAAATCCAGGAACGGGTGGTGAGTTATTTGATACTGGGCTTCCGTGGGTCGAAGGAATGGAGGCCACAATGATGCTTGCCGAGGGCCGCAAGGAAGCTTGGGTCCCTCCAAGTTGAAGGGTGAAATGAAATGATCTTCGCAGAGAGATTGAGGGATGAATCCCAATACCCGGGCGTTTCTAGCCAAGGCATTCAGTAGGTTCAGGCCAACAAGAGCATAGAGCTGGGTTGGTTGCGGGGTTCCCAGCGAGTAGTTTGTCTGGGCACTTCTTGCGAGAATGATCATCTCGGCCCTCCTATTCGGACACGGAAGAAGCACATAGCCTCCGTCTCCATCGACTGAGCTTGAAGACTCACCCTCCCCTTCGCCACTTTCCAAGTTGCTACATAATTCTTTCAATTTCCTTCTTCCTATGCGCACAAAGAAAGTGTCAGCGACGAAAGTTGACGATCCACGTGGAGCCTTGGGATCACTAACGACGCGCCCGCTGGTTCAGGCGATTTTGTATCTTCCGCCTTTCTTTACTTGATGAGACCCCGGTCCAGTCGTCTGCGGGATCCTTCATCTCCAGCTGATGAGGTATCACGTCCAGCTCTAGCTTGGTAGGCGGATTTGCGCTACTCGATGCACTCAATTCTGTAGGATTCGACATTTCTTTAACCAGATCAACAATTGTGGAGTTGTGGAAGAAAAAGCGACCTCGTCCGCGTTGGGCTGGGCTTCTTTCGGTTTTAAAGCCCCTGAGTCGTGAGCCAAGGCTTGGCCGGACCACTCAGCGCCCCGAGATCGCACTAAGGAATTACAGATAGAGCAGAGTGGGTCGCCTGAAGCCTATTTACGAGGCAACTCAGGTACCGTACCGACCTCACCTGGGTACATGGATGCATGATGTCAGACACTAAAAGTGCCCACTTTGCATGCGAATCCGCGCGGGAGTGGTTCTTGAATTTGGATCAAATGTTGTCGCAAAGTTTCACGCCAAGCAGGTGTTTACCACCCGGATCCGCAACTCGTCTAGTCATAGCTTCATTCTCGTGTTTTCTCAAATCTCACGTTACATGTAGTGCTGTCATCGCCGAAAGTAAGATGGCGAGTAGAACTAGCATCCGTTGGCTCAATATTGCGCTTCTGTGATGTAGGTGTTCCAAAGAGCGACTTTGGGACCTAAGCAGAGGGATTGAAGGGAGTAGACTCCTTTCAGAAGTTCCAAAGACCATCATAAAACTCGGTTGCTTCCTCTTCTGTGCTGAAGTCGCCCATGATGCCACTTAGAAGGCTCCCATATGCATCAGGCATATTGACATCCGCAATTTGGGACGCCCAATTTGCCATGTCATCCACATTCGGGCCGTTGGAGGTCAACGAAGACGGCTGAAACTCCGGTCTGTCAACCTGATTCCGATCTACCACCATTGCCATGGTTCTAGCAGACAACGCTTCGAACAGGTTTCGGTATGGTGCCGCAGCCTCCCAGCGCTCCGCCATGATAGCCAAGAGCATTGTACAAGTCGTGAAGATGGAGCTAACGTTATCGACTCTAATTGATCTTCGAGCGGCTGAAGAGGTCCAAAGGCAGTGCATGTAGGTCAACCCTGCCAAAAAGAGAAGGTGTAGCGTTGACCACGTGTAGTTGATTGGTTTGCCAATGTAAAGACGTTTGCAGCCTTGACAGATATTTGCAGCTGCTTGAGCACACTCCAGGAAGACATCGTCTTCCTGATCCTTTTTATCAGTAAGCTGGCCGCGATATAGAAAGAGAATAGTTTCGTAATAGGTCAACTTGTAGTCTTCCATGTTGGAGAACACGGTAAGTGGAACAGCTGCTCGACGCGGCTCTGGAGGCGTACGTGCCATCCAATCATCGAGTTCTCTGCGAAACATCTGCACTTGGGCTTGGTGCCTATCTTTATCTGAGTTTTCCATGGAGATATTGGAGTAGAAAACAGCATAGATACGCGCCCAGATGCATCTCATGTCAAATTGGTGGAGCGCATGCGAGACGGTGGTGGAAGGTCCACTTGGCGATGTTCGCGGCGTGCCTTGGATTTCTGTTTCGCTTATCACGGAATCGTCGATATCAAGAGGAAGCTGTCAGGTCAGTGAGAAAGTACACGTATCACATAGATCTATGGGATCTCACCTCAGCATCCACCTCTTGGATCGGAAGAGTGAGAGGGAGGCCAAGATTTACGGAGGCAGCGCAGTCCATCTGATATGCGCACCAGAAGGCTCGCTTTCGCAACTCTGAACGCAGAAGGTTGGTCCGAAGATGGAACCTCTTGACGTTGCGGTGATAGCCAAGTTCAATGCACTGGCGAAGAGCAAGTCCCGAGAGATTCCTGTTGAGGGGGTCTTAGTCATGGCTCATGGTTTATGATCGGCTAGGTTTGTTGGTGAACTGACCATACTGACGGGCCAGTAGCAGACCTGATAGAGAATAGTGCACAGCATAGCAAAGCCTGAATGGATTCAAGGGTTTTCTGTGAGAGTACACTTTCCAAGTGCAATAGCGCTGAGGCATAGAGTTGCTAAAACAGCATAATAGTTAGATTTATGCGATGTTGGCGCATTTGAATCGGTGACTGACCTGTGAGAGCACTTTGGGATTCGACTTCAACAACGCGCCAATAGCATAAACCTGCCTAGTCTTAGTGATGCAGCCTACGGGAAGAGGCCAATGCAATGATTTGGTCCCACACCACTCACCATGTTGACGAAAAACAGCTCGCTTGGAGTTGGAGACTTTGACTCTAGTCCCGCCGCATTTCTCTCCCACTGCCTAAAAGTTGGTTCATGCAGGAATGGGTATTGCAAATGAACGTTATCAAAATAAGCATTGCTCAATAGCAGTCCCACTTCATATCGTGGTAGCCGGCACGGTGATACTGGCGAGTTCATCTCACCCGTATGTAAGTCGAAATCGTCATTGGGGTTGCCCTGTGCGACCTGACGTACGCAGGCATGGATTATCCGGGAAAACGAAAACATCGACGACGAACCGAGGTATTGCGGTTCGGCACCGGAAGCATGTAGACTCAAGATGCCTGCCTTGGAAACAAGATCAGCAGCATCATCCTGGTCACCCCGATTACCGCTCGGAGTATCCGTAGACTGCTCAGAGATGGCAGATGAGGAAGGTAACCCAGACACAGAAGGCGATTGATCTTGCTGCTGCAGCATGTCTTCCAGAAGCTGAATGCGCTCTTCTAAAGTCTCAACGTAATTCCGTGGGAGGTGCCGCTTGGTGGAGGAATCTTCCACGAGACATGCTAGCGGCTGTTGAGCATTCGCATACACTAAAAATCGGCGGTCCAGGGGACTTGACTTACCAATGGCCAGACGACTGCAATTGGCGCAGGATGGGACTTGGTCATCGCACTAATGATCTGAGTCACTGGAAATCCAGATGAAAATACTGATGCAGAATAGCCCTGATCGAGTTTACCTTCAGTTTCCTTTCTTTACAGCCGATGCAAGCTCCTGGGGCTCTGGTGCGTGTTCGACGCGGGGGACGCGCTGGGCGTCTTTGGCGATCGCTCATCTGGCGCGATGGTTAGCCTGAGGGGCCAGTAAAAAAGCTGCGCAAGCTGAGTACGCAATAGTCAGAGTCATTTAGCCCTTAACTGGCCTAGACTTGCTTTTTTGTTTTGGGTTCAACCTTTTCCAAGCTGGATCCTGGCTGAAGGACTGTTGGTCGTTGAGGTTTTGGAGGAGGAAGATATTTCGCAGCAATGGGAGACTCAATTCGCTGTCATACACAATGCATTGATAAGGGATTTGGAGCCATGATTGGTGCTATCTTCCTTATCTCGCCGCCATGTCAGGGATTTAACTTGGCACAGGTCTGAATTGGCGCCTTACAGCGTTCAGACTACACTAAATCTAGCACGAGCTCGTGGTAATGTCCTTGACTCAGCATGACACTAAGTACAACTACCCCCAAATGAAAGCCATCGAACTTCCGACCACATGTGTCCCGTCAGACCAGACAAGCCTTCCTTGAGACTTAGCATCGGCACCGGGTGATGAACCCAAGGTGGCGGAGACGACGAAGCTCTGTTTCTCGCCCGCCTCGCTGAAAGTGAGAGTCTCAGGGATGACAGCAACCTTGACCAGTGCGGGGTCAGTGAGAGAGACGTCAACCTTGTAAGTACCAGCACCTCCGACGTTGGTAACGGTGCGCTTGAACGTGGCAGTGTAGGAGCCGTTTGTAGAACTATCATAGAGGGCAGAGAAAGAAGGATAATTGAGGTCGTAGACGCTGTATGTTTGGTTGGAGGCGCAGGTAAAGTTGCTTCTTGTGATGCCGTTGGTAAAGGCAGATGTGCTGTTAACCGCGCAAAGAAAGTCAAGATAGTCATCCGGAGAAATGTCGTATATGAGACCAGGGTTCAGAGCTGCGACGGGGTCAACGTGGCCGTTTCCGTAATCGAATACAGAGGCCGCCTTATCGTTGGCAGAGTCTAAGAGAGGAGACTGGGTGCCCTTCGTCGTGGTGTATGCAGTAGTCATGATGGCCGACCGGATGGCTGCAGGGCTCCATTCAGGGCGCCGGGCAAGAATGAAAGTAGCAATCCCCGACAAATGCGGGCAACTCATGCTTGTACCGGAAATCACGTTCCAGTCAATCTTTCTTGTGTCAATGTCAAGTCCGGTCGGACCGGTGCCAGACCACCCAGCCAGGATAGAGACGCCTGGGCCAGTTATATCCGGCTTGAGAAGTCCGGGAACCACAACGTTAGGGCCTCTAGAGCTGAAAGATGCCATGAGAGGAGCCGGAACACCCAATCTGGTACCTTCAAAGTCGATCACTGCCGTCCCATTGCCCGTCTTTGCGTAGGCTTCAACTTCAGATCCATCTGAGTAACCAAGGTGCAGAGCAGGAAGAATATGGGCATCAGCAATGGTACCATCGCCATCGGTTTCGGAGTTGACAAGTACCATCGCACGACCTCCAGCAGACTTGACGACGCCGCCCTTCTCTGTCCTTCCGTTCTGGCCCCTGACGCAGACAACAGCCTTGCCGGCCACCCTGGCAGGATCAAGACTGCCCGCCAGGCAGAGTGACGCTGTTGTGGCATTTCCTTTGCCCGCTTGACTGCCGTGAATCAGAGGAAGCACCTCTCCGTCGGCTAACGGCTTGATGTCTGTCACTGATCCGTTGCTGTAAAGAGAAAAGCCGGTGTAGTTCTTGCCGTTGCCAAGTGTGATGTGGGCAGGGAAATCACGGTCCAGCGTGCTGGCGGCGACGTTCAAAACCCATGGGGCAAGGTTCGTGACGGTCCCGGGTCCTGGGCCGCTGTTTCCAGCCGACACAGCAACAAAGACGCCCTTCTTCATGGCTGCGTAGCTGCCAACCACGATACCCTCCTCCTCGTTGAAGCTTGGCTGATCGGGGCCCAGCGACAAAGACATAACGTTCACTCCATCCGCGATCGCTTGGTCGAAGGCTGAGAGAATATCGGAATCGAAACAGCCCTCCTTCCAGCAAACCTTATACATGGCGATGCGTGCATCTTTGGCCATGCCACGAGCTGTACCGGAGGCTTGTCCAAATAAGCTGGCGTTAGGGACTTCATTGCCGGCAGACGTAGTCGAAGTATGGGTTCCGTGACCGTCGTCATCCCTGGGAGACCGAGATTCTCCAGTCCAGTTGAAAGCTCCAGTTCCGTTGGTGACAGCGGCAACGTATCCCTTGTAGAGGGCCCTGGCGCCCACAAGCTTTTTGTTGCAGCTCGTGGCCGGGAAGTCTGGGCCAGTCTCGCATTCGCCCTTCCAATGGGAAGGAACGGGAGGCATGCCATCGTCCTTGTAGCTTGGGTTTTCAGGCCAGACTCCAGTGTCAAATATGCCGACGACCAAGTTTGACTCGGCGCTTGTACCGTTCACGTCGTCACGCACGTCGAGGTACATGGCCGTGTCGACGCCGGGGCTGCGACCAAGCAAAGCTTCAGAGTCAAGCAGTCCTAGAAACGCAGGAGTACGACTGGTGTGGAGGTGGTAGACCTTGTCCGGTCTGACGGAGAGAACATCTGGTTGTGCCCTCAATGCATTGGCTTGATCATCGGTGATTTTGGCTGCATACCCATTGATGGTGTGTTCATAGGTGTAAATGACCGCAGCAGGGTCGGCAGAGACAGATTGTAAGGAAGTGTCAATGAGAGACCTGCGGAGGAGGCCGCTTGCCTGTGTGTCGCGCATCGTGACGATGTACGTTTTCTTCAGTTCAGCCCCTGAAGCAATCCCTGCGAGGAGGGAGCTTAGGAGCAGCAGCCAAGAAGTTCTCGCCATGGTGTTCGTGCGCGACAATCTGATGTTGTTTGGACCCGAGAGTCTGGTCAGAAGATGCAACTGTTACATGCAGCTCGGAAGGACCTTCAATACATATAGTTCACTCCTATTGACCACCATTTCGGGACCAGATGCCCCGTCAAGAAGATAGTGAGCGCATTTCCAATGCACAAGCCCCTATTACTAGCAGTAGAGTTCTCGTATCTGAAGATCCCGACTGAGCCGAGATGGACTGAAAGTCCGCAGGTCAGGATTGGTGCATATTCAGTTACATTCGACCTCCCTCTTTTGATTCTGAAGTTGACGGGCCAAAGCTTATCAGAGTAGTTCCAGGGGTTCGTCCTGCTGCTATTGGCCGGACGTCACGCCAACGCTGGTTATGTCAGTCGGCAAATACTCAATTAAAGTGTCAGATAACCTTAATTTCGAGAACTAATGTTCATCCGACAGCGCCGCGCCTTAGCTGTGGTCACGTATAGGCGGCTAGCTTATCCGGCTCTTAGCTGAGTTCATGCATTTATTAAGCACTGGCCACCGCGGTACTTTGACTTCGCCAGGCGGGCAAATAAGGAATTGAAACCACGTGGAATCCTTCCGCTTTGTAGCAATTAGTAGGCGAAAGTTGAAGCTCAATCGTGTCCGTGAATCTCATTTATTTGTGTTCATATATCCTCAAAGGAACCTGCCCCCATCGCATTGAGTTTGCCGACACGTCTCGGTATGATGCCAAACAGATTCATGGATATCACAGCGCTCGAGGCTCAAACTGTCTCCGGGCGAAGTGACGGTACATCAAGCGAAAGCGAAACCTCCACTTCTTCCCAAAGGCGATAAATAGCCCACTTCCGAACAGAATGGCAGTTATTAAGACGCCAATTGTGATGTACACAGTCTGAACTCCTGAAGAAGCGATCCACTGAGGTAGAGCGAATATGATGATGAAGGAGCATATGTTCCGAACGAAGGTAATTCCGACCATAGCATCGCCAACAACCTAGCAAGTAGGGTGTGTCAGCAGTTGTTTTCACTCATCGTGTAGGGAAAAAATGTGCTTACTTCTGTGTAGGCATCTGTTATGTACGTCAAGGATATGGTCCCTGCTGGAGCTGTTCCGAAACTGCACATGGCATAGCTCACAGCGAGGGCGGGCCAAGACCAGCCGTTGCTGAGCCCGACACCAAACACTATAATGCCAATTGGCGCGAATGGTGCAAATGCTGCCATCACCCAAAGTCGCATTTCTGGCTCGTATATTCCCTTATTGCGTTTGGACGCGAACAAAATCCACCAATCGCTGAGCGGACCACAAAGTAAGGTTCCCAGGGTCGACCCTGTGAATGGAGCCAAACTCATCAAACCTATTTGGCCAGGGTCGAAGTTGTATGGTGCCCGCGTCATCCAATTCGACATTGTTGTAACTAGAATGTTGGATGAGATCATCATCGCACCATAGACGAGAGACATGTATAAAACGCCCGGTACCGAGAACAAAATTTGAAATGGTTGATAGCAATGACGGTAAAAGGTGCGGAATGAGCCGGGTGATGACGTCGTGAGTGACAGGCGCTGCCTGTATCTCTTACGTTGCATCTCTTGTTCAATGTATGGACCGTTCAGCTTGAGGCTGGTCCCCCTGTTCGATGGAGCATCTCTGTGTAACTCAGGACTTTTGGAGTTCTCGTCGACTTTCCCTGTACCCTCATCAGAATGGCCGATACCACTAATCGGAGGCAAGATGAACTTCGTCTCCTCATAGCCAAATACCATGGCCAGCAGGAGCAAACCAAAGAAGATGGCAATCCACCACCATACCCAGCGCCAACCTTGAGACGTTGTCACATAGCCAGCCGCCAAGGGCGTGAGTGATGCTCCTATTCGAGTTGACCAAAAGAACAAAGCGTTCATGGTGCCTCGCTGGTTGACGAAGAATACGTCGGCCACAGTCATTTGCACAACCACTTCAGCGAGTGCACCCACGAAACAGCTTATTATGTTGACCATCATCAAATCTGCCACCGTTTGCTGGTGTGCAGACCAGATCGTTACACCGAACTGAATGGCGGTGCTGAGGATGTAGACTGGTCGTCGGCCATACTTCAATGCGAACGGATTCAAGATGACAGCTCCAATGGCAAGAGCACCACAACCTACAGCATAACTGGTGTTGAGAATGTCGTAGCTGAAGCCCAATTGCTCATGCATAGGAGCCCAAGTCGGAGTGGCCGCATCGATACTGAGGTCTTGTTAGTGGCGGGCCGGCAGCGTGTCAAAGCCGGGAATGTCAAGCATACAGTGCAAACACCATCAAGGTGTAGAAGGCGGCCAGGCCAAAATTCCAAAATTTCAAGGGTCTGGGCCAATTCTGATATTTTGGTAAGTCATGCCGGAGTCAACAGGGATTGAACTAATGTAAGGTGGAACTCAGCTGCGGCAACTTACCAGAGGGTCGTTAGGGTCTCGTGATGGCAGCGGTTGTGGGATGATCTCCATAGAGCCACTTTCTTTTAGGGGAAAAGCTTTAGTCTGTTGTCTGGATGTCTAGAACCGAAAAGAAAGATGATGATTTACCTTCCAGTCGTACGGTACCGGGCGGCCACGCGGGATCATCATGTTCCTCACTAGAAGCCATCTGTAACACAGTCGCTCAATGATGCCCTGCTGTGATAGCTGAATGTCGAGAGGTCTGGTAACTCGTTGTTTCTAGATGTGGTGTGTCGAGGTCAACTCCAAGGAGCGAAGAAGATGAGTCTTTTGTACAGGTAATTGCCGGAATTTAAACAAATATCCTGATGCATGGTATGAAAAGCAGCCTGACAGTTGTAGAATTAAGCATTATGATATCTCGCCAAGAAACCTGTGTCAGAGAAGATGGCATCCCCGTCAATATTGAGATAAGACGGGCGCTATCACAACGCTCGTGATGTATGTGAGCCCCGCAGAACAGCGCGGGGTGACGCTGATCCTCGCTCTCTAAAGGTAGAAGGTTTGCTGCATCTCGTTACATGTTTCCGACGGGCCGGTGGCACTTGGAGGAGAGTCGAAGTAGCTATCGGGTGTACCCGAGCTCGGCTTCCGATTCGTTGCAATGTAACGCTTGGATTGGAGATACTGCATCATGATGGAGCACTCGGACGACAGTTTGGTTTTCATCGACCAATAGAATTCAGCGATCTTAGTCTTGTGCATCGGTTCTTCCCGGCGCAATTTCCGATGCGTTAACGTTGCGCGGCAGTCCTGACCCCCGACCGGTCACGACCAGTGTGCCCACTTCAAGAGCAGTACTCGGGTCAAGTACTGTAAGAAGAGTCACTTGTGGCAGTTTCAGTAGGGGAAGCATCGGCAAAAACACCACATATTGCCGCTCCTCTTCGAAGCTGCGGGTACCGGACTAAGTTCAATTAATCAAATGATTTTGTCATAGGTATGATCCCCTCGGATATCAAGACTGATGGTCGAGTTCATAACAAACGCTCATGTCCTGCAAAGTTTTCCATGGACGTTTCCATGTCGTGATTTTCGTTCTGATCTACACGAACACTATGTCTGTTGAAACCGCTCCTTTGGCCAAAGACGACCATGTTGTCGTGGTCGGTGCTGGCATCTTTGGGCTCAGTACCTCTATCCACCTAGCGGAGCGCGGATACACCAACATCACTCTCTTGGATAAACAACCGTATGAAAAAACTCATTATTCCTACTTCGAAGGCTGTGATGCTGCATCTGCAGGTGAGATATGCGAGGATACGTTTGATCGCTCTTCTTGGTTAACCTGTACTCTAGATATCAACAAGATCATTCGTTCCGCGTATGGCTCTCAGACTATCTACCAAAACCTGAGTTTTGAGGCAATTCAATGTTGGAACTCATGGACTGAAGAGCTTCGACAAGGAGGAGAAGCTGTGCCTCCGGGAATGAGCGCTACGGACGACCTCTGGATCAACAATGGCGATCTCTCGTGTACCGACGGCGACGGTTTGCCGGACTCCGACAAAGCGACAATTGATAGCATGGAGAGGGCCGGTCATGGAGATACTCAACTCGTCAACAACAGTCCACAGGACTTGGAAGCTGCAACGAGAGGGGGCTTTCTTCCCATGATGCACCCATTCTCCAAGAACCTTCTGGGAGTGCTGGACACCACTGGCGGTATTACTTTGGCCGATAAAGCCTGTCGTTTTGCTTTGCATAAGGCAAAACGTCTTGGTGTTCGACTTGTTCTCGATCCAACGGCTGGAAAGGTGGATTCCTTGATGGAAGGTCAGGGGTCCGATATCATCGGTGTGCGCACCACGGATGGAAAGTCACACAAAACTGCCCTAACGATCATTGCGAGTGGCGGATGGACTCCAACCTTGGTTCCTTCTCTAGATGGGCTTGCGGAGACAACTGCAGGGTCTGTCGTCATGTTGAGCGTCCCAGAACATCTTCGTGGACGTTTTGCCCCTACACGCTTCCCAGCTTGGTCATACAAGATCGGTGACGGTGCAGAAGGCGGACTGTACGGCTTCCCCGTGGATGAGAATGGTGTACTCAAAATTGGGTATCGCGGCACTAAGTACACCAACCCGAGAATACAACCAGATGGCCTAGAGCGCAGCGTGCCAGTCACTCGGTGGACCGAAGATGAAACAATTCGTCAAATCCCTTCTCAGGCCCTCGAAGTCATACGAAGATTCATTCACGAATGTCTTCCAGAGTTATCAGACACCGAGGTTCTCGCAACACGTTTGTGTTGGTATACTGACTCATTTGATAACCATTTCATTATCGACCGAGTGCCCCCAAAGAAGGGTCTCATGGTTGCCACAGCTGGAAGCGGCCATGCATTCAAATATCTGCCCACAATTGGCAACTGGGTGGTGGACGTTATTGAAGGAGTGGGTTTGGACAGACCGGCGATGAAGGCGTGGAAATGGAGGTCTCTGGAAGATGACAGCACGCCTGTCAACCAGCTCATGGAAGGTTCTCGTGGTAGTCGTGCTCTTAAAAACATAGAGCTGGCGCCAGGTGTGGCTCCTCCTGGGCCAAGGCTGTGAGCACTTGATGGACCCAATTCCAGAATTCTGTTTTCTTCAATGTCTGGCCGACATATCATTGAATCATCCAGATGAGATAAAGCAAGATAAAATAACACAAATAATGGATAGATAAAGCACAGGTAACAGCAGGCGCAACGAGGACAATCAGTAGTGATACTCGTTCACGTCCAAGATGCAGGGTCCGACATGACGAGAAGTGCTAGTTGCCGGAAGTTTCAACTCAGCTGGCCCCCGTGGACCTCTCTGTTCCAGTGGTCCAGGTCTGTGATCGCATTCAGCCCTGAATAATTACAGGGGTTGGCAGGCAGAGCATGTCTGAGGCACAGCAAGGGAGCAACATAAGCACTAACTCACGAAGGACAGCAGCGGCTGCAATGTTTCTGATTGACAACAGTGAAGCGTGGATTGCAAGATTGATGTGCTGGATTGAGTCGGCACCCGCTCACGAATGACCACAAGGACACGAAGCCAAGAGCCCGCCCTTCGGATGTAGCTTGGTATAGCAGACTGTGTGTTCAAATGTGATTGCCACATGAACACAATCGACAGTCTATTGCGTATTTGGCGTGCATTTTTCCGAGCAACGGACGTTTCTGTGATGTAATGTGGGTACTATCGGCTTCTATGTGATGACGGTAAGGGGGGTGGGGGCTATTTAGAGATCCATTTAGTGGGAAGAATAGGTTCGAGAAAGTGATTGCGAAATGGCGCTGTTTGGAAGGGATTTCAACCAAACCGCAGCTTCTCAAAATGCTTACATCTGACGTAGTGTGTGATGCGACTGCCTGCATGAGCCAACAACCCCAACTTGCGGTGTGGCATCAGAAAGCTGAATCGTAATCCTGGCCATAACGCATCCCTGAACACTGAGCCACCAAACATAAAACCAGCTCGATGGAGAGGCAAATCCTCACCGAAGCCTTTTCATCAAGCCTCGCGGTCAGAAAGCCGTACATTCCGTCCAAAAATGGCTCAGACAACACACGGAGCACATTAGCGGCTCATCATTTGCTGCGATGGAACATGGATGGACTCACTGGGAAAGCAAGGGTAAGCCAGAAAAGCCGTTCAATCCGTTAGGTTTGATAGTCTCATGCCCCAAACATAAGGCTGAGCCTCAACCCAACGTCACGCGAATCCCACGAGTGCTCCGCAGAACCTGCCATGACGGCACCCACCAGATCATCATGTATGATTCAGGCGTCGGGAGTTCGGATAGTTATGTGGAAAAGTTCACCGGTGGCCTTCTGGGGACTTGACTTGCTCAGATACGCCCATTTCATTATTAGTTGAAAGTTTCCACGTCTGATTGGCATCCAGAATATCAGAGAAGTATCCAACTTCATCTGCGCTAACTATATTGACGGAGACGATATAATCTTCATTGGCTGCTCTCGGGGTGCATTCACCGCGCGCTCTGTTGCCGACATGATTGCAACAGTCGGCTTACTGACGCCATTGGGCTGGGCCACTTCTACGCGGTGTTCGAAGATTACGAGAGCATGACTGACGTAAATCGCGATCACACTCTCTTTCTGGATCCCCAAGTTCTGCCATATGACAGCTAGAAAGGAAAAGCCAAGCGCGAGTCGGAAAAGGAGCGAAAGCTGCAGTATGAGGAGTGGCTTACAAAGGTAGGTGTGCTCCAAAGTAGTGCAATCGAGATGGTGGCTTACACCAACAGAATGGCTACATTAGACACAAATACCAAGATGGTACGACGGAGATCAAAATCGAGGCGATCGGCGTGTGGGATACTGTTGGAACTCTGGGTATTCCCCCAGCGCCAGTCATCGGTTTACGCGGATCCTCCAACCAATAAATTACCCATCTAGTAAGCGTGAGACTTCTAGTGACTTCATGTACATGGGAATTCCCAAGCACTCAGATTTCAGATCACGTAGAGGATGCATTCCATGCCCTTGCTCTTGATGAGCCCAGGTATGCGTTCAGGCCAGCTCTTTGGGAAAGGCTTGACAACACCAAGACAAATCTCAAACAGGTGTGGTTTCCCCGGAAGTCATAGCACTGTGGGAGGCGGATGACACGAGCAGCAAATCGCCAACATATCTCTCGCCTGTACCTGCGTTTTTATGTGATTGGGAAATGAGTAAAGCATACATTCAGCTGACATACGCAGGGATGTGTGACCAGTTATCGAGTGTCGGAGTTGAGTTTGACCCACGCCCATGGAGGCCATCTTCAATCAAGGTCTGCGGTACTCTGCAGGTCATCCGTTCCCTTACGTACCCCAAGGCTCATGGGTATCATGGCTGTCAGCGAAGAAGTTCTTCCCATGGGCCAAGCCCGAGATCTGTGCGGCGAAGATCTCCAGTGTGAAACGCGATGCGGCTGAATGTAATGGCAAGAATTCTCATCCGGCAGGCAGCGATGAAGATCTCTAGAAGCTTGCCCGACCCTGGGGGCTAGGCCTAATGCGAGACCCTGGCGGACGCCTCCAGACCATTGGCGGGACCACAGTCCGACATCCTGGAATCTTCAAGCGTACTGACCCAGATACGAACCAAGACAGCGACGAGGCTCTGCTGAACACCAACGAAAGAATCTACAACAGCGTACGCGTCAGGTTAGCCTGCCAAGGGCTTGCTGTTGACGATGTAGAGATCTGGGACTGCAAGCCCCTTACCCGGGCGGCGGACGGCAGTGCGCTCTGGAAGCTAGAGCGCGGGTCTGGCTTGACCGCCTCCGAACTAAGTCAGACCAAAAGCTTCTGACCCAGGGAGTTGGATCTTGGTACGGGCGAGTTCGACGGAAAACTCTATCCGGTTGGGGTCAGGGACGGGCAATGGCGGTGGGTGCTTGTTGATAAGCGCCGTGGGGCTGTGTCTCTGGAAAAGGTCTTACCTGAGGAGCCTGTGACGGGATACTGGGAACGGTATCTTCTTGCTTTGACGGCGGGAAAACCCGATATGTGGAGATGGGCTGAAGAAAACCCTCCCCTGGACGCCGCGGGATCTAAGGCTTGATTTAGGTCATCTTGTCTCAGTCAGTGGCGCTTCGGAGGCGATGCCAAGTAAGGAACAAGGGTCTAAACTTACGGATACGGTTGAACGTCCTGATGATCACTGCTACTTCAGAATGACGGCAAATCAAAAGGGTTTCTCCTGAGTGATCGGCAGTCCTAATGCTTACTCCCACGTTTGACCTCACGTTCCACGACAACGTGCAGCAACATGCAGGCCACACTCACACCACGAGATGTCCACGAGAGAAGAGCTTTCTGACGGGAGTTCAAAGGAAATCGCTGAAATTGCACAGGGACTCCATCTTAGACACGATTGCGATACTTTCTCGAACAGTTGGAAACCGATTCGCGCAATGTGAGGAAATTTTAGGTATGGCTGCATGCGACCATTTGACTACACTTTCGTCATAAGCAAGCCACGGCTATGAGCCTCGTCCACTACTAACGGGATCTACCGACCATTTGCTAGAAGAAAGTCAAGAGCCATGTCTCGGAAACGGACTCCAGATTGGTGGGCTAGCCAGCATCAACGGCCATGTGCGATCTTGGTGTGCTCCTCCCGTCTCGGCCGTGAGCCATCTCCGGGACCAGACCCAGCCATCCGGGAGAAGCTGTTTTAGAGCTCAAAGATTGTTGAGCTTTCAGCTTCAGCCAGGTTGGTGATAGAACAAACGCCTGGGCTGGAAGTTGGTGATCACGTCAAGCTCACCTCTAGACATTGACTGTTTTCGGCCATTGAAGCTGCCTGCAACGGGAATATCTTAAGCTTCATCGTGAGAACCACGACCCGGAACAGTTATAAAATTGGACGAGAATTCCCTTCTCAAGGTCTCTTTTCTCTTACCAGCAACTAATCAGCTCAGGTCTTCACTACTACTACCACCACCACCTCTACTCTCTCAATTAATACTTAATACTCCTAATACCTCCTCTTATTCCTAATTTTAATCAATACCTTTATCAATCTTCAAAATGTCTACCATTCGCAGCATCGCCACTCTTGCTCTCGCCCTTGGCGCCGCAGCAGCCCCTCAGCTTGTTCAATTCACTCCGGTTCAGCCTCCCCAACCCGACGTCCCGAAGGTCCACGTTCCTAGTGTCACCCCTCCGGCATTCCCCACGGTTGAACCCACGGCCCCGACTGTCCCGCCGATCAACATCAACAAGGACCTTATCATCGAGCCGGCTTTGCCGAATGTGGAGTTGAAGGGCCCGAAGGTAGCGCGAGACCTCCCGGTCAAGCTCACTCCGCAAGGCGTTGAGATCTCGGTCAGCGCCCCCATCGTCGTGCCCACCGCCGGCGCGGGTCTTCCGGCACTGGCTCCTCGCGAGGACGATTTCCCAGTCAACTTCAACGCAATCCAGCCACCAACGACTGCTCTCCCAAACCTTTCCACTCCGACCCTGTCTGTCAAGCTCCCTGACGTCGTCATTTCCTACCCAAAGGTTCCCAATGCTCCCAAGCTGCCTCGCCGCAACATCAAGATTCCCGAGTCCGTCATCCCCACCCAGTCTGTGGATCTCCAAGCGATTAGCAGCATCATCTCAGCCCTGAGCGGCCTCGTCACTGCCCGCAACGCTGAGCCTCAGCCTACGAATGTGGTGCTCGATCTTCCCGCAGCCACCAGTGTTCTCTCTGTTCTTGGCGACATCAAGGCCTCCGTTGCAGGTCGCGAGGTCCCAACGCCTCTTCCTGTCGTCAGCTCGGTTCTCTCTGTCTTGGGCGACATCAAGGCCGCGATCATTCCTCGCCAGACACCCGATGTGCTTCCTTTTGTCAGCTCTATTGCATCAGTCGCTGGCGGTGTCAAGGCCGGCATCATTGCCCGCGAGACTCCCGAGGTGCTCCCCATTGCCAGCTCGGTTCTGAGCGGTGTCAAAGCTCCTGTTTTTGCCCGCGAGACTCCCGAGATCCTTCCAATCATCAGCTCGGCTGTTAGCGGCATCAAGGCTGCGGTTGTTCCTCGTGAGACTCCCGAGGTCCTTCCCATCGTCAGCTCGGTTCTCAGCAGTGTCAAGGCCGGAGTCCTTCCCCGCGAGACTCCTGAGGTGTTCTCCATCGTCAGCTCGGTTGTTGGCGGCATCAAGGGTCCCGTTGTCGCCCGCGAGACTCCTGCCGTACTCCCCATTGTCAGCTCTGTTGCCTCTGTCGTCGGCGACATCAAGGCCTCGCTTCTTCCTCGTGCGCTGCCAGTTGAGGTTCCCAGCACCACCGTCGACATCGCCGCTGTCAAGACTGTCATGGCCGTCTTGAAGAGCATCATCGACTCTCGCGATCTCGCGGCCGTTGGCGTCACCATTCCCAGCGTCACCGTCGAGGTTCCTATTGTCAGCTCTGTCCTCTCTGTCTTGAACAACGCCGCAGGCACTGGGCTCCCCATCAAGGCTGCTCGCGGCACCCTCCCCGAGGTTCCCGCCGCTGTTGTCGCTGTCGGTGTTGACGTTCCCGCCTTCACCGCGACCGTTCCCGTGCTGGTACCCGTTGCTGCCCGCACCGCGATCGACCTGCCGCTTAGCACTCTCATTCAAGTACCTTCCATCAGCAAGACCATCGAGCTGCCCGCTGTCCAAACCCCTGAGTTGAAGGGCAAGTTCACCGCAGGCAAGCGCACCACCGCTGGAGTTATCGGCGATGTCCGGGGAAAGATCGACGAAATCCTGTCTGCTGTTCCTCAGTAAATCAGTCAACAAGTTATTCGACAAAAAGCAAGACGAACACCGGAGAATAGGAGACGGGGGGTGGCTTGGCCGGCAGATGTACCCCACACAAAGATTGAAAACAAGGGAGGCCGCGGTAATGGGAATTAATAGGATCGGCGCTTAAGGAACGTGAACTTATAATTAGCGGGGGAAATAATTGGTAATTGGGAAAAGTGTTAAACTCTAAAGGAGCCCCTGAGGCATGAATCTATTAATTGCTTAGAAGCTAATTGAAAACCATCATCGCCTACGAAAATGTGCCAAGTCGTGCTGATCATCTTCGCCCGAACGTGCCGCACGGTGATTACTACACATGACTCCCATCAAAAAGGTCTGTTCCCTATTCCCTGGCCTTAATACGGCCGTCCGAGAGTCCGTCTTTCACGTTGTTTTAGAGTTAGGCCCTCCTGATGATATTATTGGGGCGCGCCAACGGCGTCTCCTAGCAATTACTCTCAAACCGCCAAGTGGCACTGGACCTGAGTCGCTCCAAACTCTGCGCCTTACGAAGGCCTCTCTGAGCCATAAAGGCCAATGGTCTCCCGCCTTACTGATCAGTGTCTTTGATGCTTGCCACCCAACTCCAATCGGTCATTCACTCTCTTTAAACCAAAGTCCAACTCAACCAGTCAGTCTTTTAGTCATTCGTTTCCCCACAACAACAATCAATCATCATGATATTCATTCACTCCTTCATCGTCGCTCTCGCTGCCCTCGGCGCTTCTGCCGCCCCGGCTCCGCAAACCTCCGGCACCCCCGACGCCCCGGCGGAGGACCGCTGCTCCGGCGTCACCTGCCCTGAGAACTCATACTGCCAAGTCTTTGACTTCCGCCTCGAGAAGCCCGTGGCTTGCCAGGCGAACGGCACCGTATCAGAGGAGTCCCAGGCGTGTGGTAGCGTCATCTGCCCTATCGGCACGACCTGCTGCAACTCATCCTGCGGCGTCTGCGCCAAGCCGGAGGAGTCGTGCCTGCAATGGGTTTGCTAGTGGTCGTTCTCGAGCGGCACTCGGAATAACCAGGCATCTATTTCAAGCGGAGTTGAGGCGTTTGTGACGGTCTTCTCATAACAACAAATCGGTCGCGATTACCGTCGCATGTTGGCAGCATTGCAAGGCCCCCATCAAGATATCCCACGACAAATTGAAAATTCCTTCCACGCTCCAATTCGCAGTGCAAATCGTGACATTTCTTCATGATAAAAGTGATTTTCTTGGCGACCCATGTCACAAAATGAGGACGGGGGACGCGGTGCTTCTTTCGCTCTTTTGGCAACGGCCTCACCGAAGCAAATAATGAGGGTCAATGCGGAGTCCTTGGCATGGATTTGAAAACGTGCGGCGATGCAAGCCGTCATTGGATTCAATGTAGACTGCGAGAATACTTCAAACACTCCTTCTTTAAAGATGTTACATCTGTCACAAATGAGCCACTTCCAATGGTCCATGAAGAGAGTCCCCCCTTCCCTTCGGCGCTGACCGTACATAACCTCGAGGGACCAAAACACTGGAAGGGGTAAACCCCACAATCCGGCACTCATCTGAACTGAGTCGTCTGATGTTCACCCGTATGCTAAGCCTTAGTGATGGGGAACTCTGGTGTCTGGGTCATCCCTGTCTCCGCATAGTACCTCTCCCAGTGATTGACAAGCCGTCGCATCACCTCGGGCTCTTTGTCTGACACATCGTTCATCTCGGCCGGGTCCTTCTCGACGTCATACAGCTCCCAATCGTCCTTTCCCCTGGGCTTGTTGAGCCAAACTGCCTTCCGCTTGCCCTCGCGAATGGCTCTGAGACCGAAAAGCTCCCAACCGTGAACATGAACATCCTCTCCGTGCACTGTCGAGTCGGCTGCAGCGTAGTCTGGGGAGGACAGTTGGGACACCCAGGACTTGCCACGGGGTATGACGACTTCGCGGCCCCTGAACGAGGTTCCGGGATGCTGCACTTGAGCCATTTCTAGGATGGTAGGGAGAATGTCCATGACTGTCGTGAAACGATGGGTGATGGCTTCGTCCTTAGCTTGGAAAGGGGGGTATCTGATGAGACATGGGCATCGAATGCCGCCCTCGGTAATCCAGCACTTGGATCCTCTAGATAGCGCGGTCGCTGCGCAAGCCCATCGAGCTCCTTGGTTCTCATTAGACGCTGCTTTTGAGGGGAAGATGCTGAGGGTAGTTCACGTCACTAACCGTACCAAGCGAAGGATGATTTCTCCCCGATGTTATTAAGGCTGTTGTCGTAGTACTTTTGAATCACGCCGGCAAAAGTTGTTTCTCCGCTCATCATCTGCAACAATTGTCAGAGTGATCAAGAGACGATTTTGCGGGAATGTCGAATGACTTACGGGAATTGCTTCCAGCGCCACTCCTTCAGCTCCGTTATCAGACATGAAGAGCACGAACGTGTCGAGTTCGCCAGTGGACTCGAGGTGGTCAATCACGCGGCCGATATTCTCATCGATCAGCTCCACCATCGCAGCAAATAATTCCATTTTCCTTGCTGACTCCTTGCGCTCAAGGTCCGACAAGTCCTTCCAATCCTTGCCCAAAACGCCGGTAGGGGGCGCGGGTTCGATGCCCTTGTCCACAAGGCCTAACTCTACGAGCCGTTGCAAACGATGTTGGGTCAGAGCATCTGGTCCATCATCGTACTTTCCAGCTGTGATCATTAGGAGCCGTTCACAGGGAAAGGTAATCTTCAACTTACCATACTTCTCGACAACCTCACGAGGAGCTTGGAGGGGCCAATGAGGGGCAGTGAACGGGAGGTAGGCAAAAGGCTCGTCTTTCTCCTTTTCATTCATCTCTTCCAGGAACTTGATCATGCGGTCGGTGAAATACCTTGTCGAGTAAACGTCCTTAGGGAGGTCCGTTCTGTGGTTAATGAACTTGTCACCGTCCATCCAGTGGCCTTCGGTGTTGAGACATGGAATCTTAAACTCGTCATCGTCAAGCTGAGGCTCATATGCGTGGTGGTTCCCAGATCCGGGCAAGAAGGAAAAGCTCTTGGTAAACCCGCGGCTACATGGAGCGAGTTCTTTGGACAAGCCGAGATGCCTACGCCATTGATCAGCATGTATTCAGATGTCTTCAGCACCGATCGGCACTTGTTCGCACTAACCATTTTCCAGACATAATCGTGTGATAACCATTGTCCTGAAGAATCTCGGACAGAGCTGCCACTCTCCAATTCAGGTACCCCTCATAACCGGGCTTGTCCTTGAAGTAGTCACCGAAATGCCGCATGTGCTCCATCATTCGGCCTGCGCGCTGTCAGTCATTTGTTGTCGGGAAGTCTCTAATTGACAACGCACCGAGTCCTGCGATGTGATTGTCGGTTCCAGAGAACAGCATTGAGCGAGTGGGAGAACATGCTGATGCCGTGTGAAAGTTGGTCATGCGAATGCCGTCCTTCGATAATTTCTTCAACACGGGCGTGTTGATCTCTCCGCCATAGGGGCTGATATCAGAGAAACCGAGGTCATCGGCGACGATGACCAGGAAGTTTGGTCGTTTGCTTGCCATCTTGGAAGTGCGGGGCTTCTGGAATTGGAGTAAGCAGATGGCGGGCTGGGAACTGGCGGTGGTGCTGCTCAAGAACTTCTCGCCGCGGCAAGATCAATGGCGACTAGAACATTCAAATCCAAACAGCATGTCGCAATCACATTTTAAGCTGACGCAATTACTGCTAGTTCTCATCTGGAAATTATTTTCCTGATCTTTGAGGGGCTGAAACTGCAAGGAAATGGAGTCTGCGCAGGTCGTTCCAAATCCGCGGGTAATTCAAAAGTTATCTCCCCGTGCTTCCCCGTTGACGATCAAAAAGTGGTGGCATCAACCCCACACTCGAGATCTGCCGAGATCCGGGGGTGGAAACTGCAACAACATCGTGACCAGTGATTTAGCCCGCTGTATCATCCTTGTGTTTGCTCTTGGCATGCTGTCGAGACTGACATTTGGGTAGCTCAAAAGCCTTTCACATCTGCCACATTCAGACAATCAGCATCGTCTCAGGGGCCCTGGGAAAATCAAAGACAACATGTCTTGCCCAGCACAAATCTCGCAAACTTACCAATGAAATGTCGCCAGATGAATGTCTTATTCCATAGAAAATTCGAATGTATTCTTTGACTGTCCGCAAGCGTAAACCATTCTTCTTCGACAAAGGTTGGGCATTGCCCGTTCCTGGCGGGCAGTGTCAACGGGGAAGGACGGGGAGGAATGTCCCTGAGACACGGACACTATGTCGATTTCGGTTTAGTCCAGGACCTCCTCCTGACACTAGTGGAGGTGCCGACCCATCACGAGGGCAGCTCGCTTGGCCTCTCGAGTCGTAACTTCGCACGTTGATGCTGGGTCAACTTCTCCGGCATCCAACTTTCTCGACTTCGAGGCCGGCAAATCGCCAATCGAAGTCGTTATGGCGCAATTGCAACCCGGAAAGTTGCGAGATGTCAGCTCTCCGGGATGATCAGTATAAAATCGGCTCGGTCGACTCTCGCGGAGAGTAAGGCAGTTGAGCCGGGCTGGACAACGGCAATCTCTCCGGCAGAATCATTCATCATGTTTGGCCATCTGAAGTTGAGAAAGACCTTCAACAGATCATTGTTCACCACGGTGATGTTGATCGCGGTGTCTCAATTCAACTTCGGCTTCGACCAACAGGGCTTCAACTCTACCCAAGCCATGGACGCCTTTGAACGCCAGTTTGGGTGGTACAACCCTCAGAAGAAGGTGTACTACCTGGAAAGCTAGTGGCTCTCACTCTTTGCAGGCTTGCCCTACATTGGTTTTGGGATAGGTAAGAGAATTTAGCGGTTGTAGGGGCAACCCTAAGATTAACATTGGATGTTGATAGGCATCTTGATCGGAAGCTCCGTAAGCAAACGGTTCGGCAGACGCATGTGCATGTTTTCCATGAGCGTATGGTCTTGCATCGCCACAACGGTCATCATGACGTCCAAGAGCCGAGATCAGATACTGGCAGCTCGCATCCTGGCATACATCTACATCGGAATGGAGCTAGCCGTGGTACCCATCTACCAATCCGAGATCACACCCCAGTGCGCCCGCGGGTTTGTCGTCGGGACATACCAACTAAGTCTTGCAGTGCGTATTCGTTCTCAAAAATGAACGGACACAATACTGACTTGGATAGGTTGGGGGCTTGGTCGTCCATGTTGTTGCGCGGGGAACGGGTGGTCTGAACTCGTCGGCCGCGTACCTGATCCCATATGTGCTCTTCTATCTAGTGCCGCTGATAGTGATAGCTGGCATTTGGTTGGTCCCAGAGGTATGTGCCCCCAGTTTTAGAGTCTCGCAGCCGGTGGAATTCTGACCTTACTCGTCTATAGTCTCCCAGATGGCTTGCTATGCAAGGTCGAAACGAAGAAGCCCTCATCGCCCTCACTCGCCTCCGCGAAGGCAAGTTTACCGAAGACGAGATCGCCGCTGAAATGGCCCACATTCGCGCCGGGATAGACAGAGAAGTCGAGAAGGGAAAATTCAAGGACATGTTCCATGGAAAGCAAATGACCAAGCGCACCATGTCCGTCATCGGCGTCAACTTCTTCATGCAGGCAACAGGCTCCATCTTCGCCAGCGTATACGGCGCCATCTTTGTCAAACAACTCGGCTTCATCAACCCCTTCAACGTAACCATCATTATATCAATCATCAACATCTTCATGTGCCTGTGCGCAATGGTCTTGCTGGACAAGATGGGACGGAGGTAAGTTTGTGCTCTCATCTGCTGCGCCCCGCAAGGATTCTCCCAGATAGTTGCAAGACCGATTGGCTGACGCGGACACCAACATCGCAGGAATGTCATCTTCTTCGGCGGATCGATTCAGACGGCCGGTCTGTTCGCCATGGGTGGTCTCGGACTCACCCAAAACCCAAGCGTTCCCGTCAAGTCTGCCATCGTCGCCATGATGATTGTCATGACCACTGGCTTCACCCTGGGATGGGCGCCCACTTCGCACGTCCTGTCTGCCGAGATTCCGAGCATGCGTCTTCGTGATATCACGTATCGGACCGCCAGCGTTGTCAACATTATAATGCAGTTCACCATCGCGTTTACGCTGCCATATCTTCTGAACGCACCATATGCAAACCTGGGGTCAAAGGTCGGTCTGATCTTCGGCAGTATCGGTTTTCTGTCCCTGGTGTTTGACTTTTTGTGCGTCCCGGAGTGCAAGGGCCGAACGCTTGAGGAAATTGATACGCTGTTTGAAATGGAAGTTCCTTTGCGAAAATTTCAAAAGATGGACTTGTCACGGATGGATGCACACGTCAGCAGTCATAAGCAGGATGTAGAAACAGGGTCAGATGTTGTCGTGGCCCTCCATGTGGGAGAAAAGTACTAGTCTACACGATCCCTGAGGAAGAATCCTTAGCCTAGATGACTTTTGCAAACCACTTTGGGAATTTCAATGACATATAACTCAGGAGGAAAATGTTTATAAGTCAAAACCAGTTTGATTAAAGCGTCTATCCAATAGCAATCTTCCCTAAACAGTACAGAGATACTTCCACACAGGCCAGATCCAACTACCAAAGGAGTGACGCTTTCCTCAATACTCCAAAGCACAACCGTAACATCATAAGACTAAATCAGACTACCATTATCCTCCACTTTTACCCGGTGTATCGCAGCGCACTATCTTAACAAGTCATCCAATCATGCATATGTGTATTGTATACCGCTTTGTAGGCAAAGACCCAGTCAGGCAAGGCGTTTAGAGCATGAAAGCGCCGAGGGCGAAGGCGCCGGCGACGGCAAGGCCAGCAGCGCCGAGGACGCTGTTGCTGCCGGGGGCAACGACGCCAGCAGCGGCGTTGGGGGAGCCAGTCTCGCGACCACCGCCGATGGTGGAGGTGGCGATGGAAGGGAAGCCGCCACCGTTGGAGGTGAGGAAGGTGGTGGTGCGAGCCTCGGAGGTGCGGGAGCGCTCGGAGGTAGGAGCGGGAGTGGCACCGCCGCCGATGGTGGTGGTCAGCTGAGAGCTGGCAGTCAGGCGGGTGGCCAAGACAATGACGGTGTTGGCGGAAGAGGTAGCGGAGGAGGCGTAGGAAGTGGACTGGAAGCCGCACTGACTCATGATGGAGTTGATACCTGTGGTGGAAAGAGTCAGTCTATGTGTACAAGCTTGCGAAGATGTTCAGAATGCTCACCCTCAAGGCTGCGCTGCTGGTCGCTGGCAACCTTCTCGTTCATGCAAGAGGAGCACTGAGCAGCCAGATTCTTGACATCGAAAGAGCTGTTGGTGCAGACGCACTGGGCGTCAAGCTCATCCTGAAGCTGGTCGCTGTTGTTGTTGGTCTGGCCGGGGATGAAGTTGACGGTGCAGATGTTGCCAAGGTCGCGGATGGGGCGGCAGATGGCAGTGCAGTCGGAGGGGATGTCGTTGGTGTTGAGGCGGAGGTCAGCGTTGACAACCGCGGCAATGGCGGAGAGGGCGACGATCTTGGCCTGCATTTTGAAGGTTGGGGGGTTGTTGTTGAGGTGAAGGGTGTTGAACAAGTTGGAAATGCTGAGCGAGCGTTGAAATGAGCCGAGGCTGCTAAGAGTTGTAAAGGGCGAGAGACTAGCTGTCGAAGGCGAAGTGAAGCTGATGGTGCGTGATGAGGTGAGAGAGAAGATGGGTAGAGACGGGATCGTGATAGGATATTTATGTTCTGGGTGTCAACAGTTCATGCCCTGCGTGAACGGTGCTCCTTCTGCTCCTCCTCTTCCCACACTGCAGGGCCGGAGATCCGCTTCGGCATCACACGGGAGGCCCCTAGGCGTCGAAACAGCCGGCAGCTTGTGCCATGACAAGACGAAGAGTGGCACTGATGGGGGAAGGAAGCAGACAGAGGTTCTCCGGTCACAGGCAGGGCTGTGGTGGTGGGCGTAGCCAAGCTGCATGGCAGAGGCCCCGAGCTGTCCAAGCCTCAGACCGAGAAGTCATTGACGCTATCGGGAACCCGAAGTGTTCAGCCAAAAGAGGAGCATAGTGTCTCGTTCCTGGAGCAGAGAAGTACCTTTTGCAGCGTTCTAGGCGCAGGGCGCAGTGCAGCACAGGACGGCCCAAGAGCATCTGCAGCTGTAGGCAGCGTCTTGTCGAAGCATAGCATCGTGAAACGTCTTTCTCGCTTGTCAGCCGGGTCTGTCGCCTCTTTTCTCCACGTGAACCGACATGGACTAGTGCCATTGCTCAAACCTTGTTGTTAGCGTGGCCCGGTAGTCTATCTTGAGTCCTCCAAGCTACGGGACTTGAGGGTCTTCGCCAGCCATTTCTGGGAGAGCGAGGTACCATGCAGGGAGAAGAAGAGTCAACGCACGGCGTTGTTTGGAAGAAGAGATTCTGCGGCGCATTGCCCTGGTCCCAGTCCTCTCCTGCTCGTCCAGAGGCCTACCACGGCATGGTGCTGGAACCGATTGTTTGGTCTTCATCTTGAGGGCGACCGTCTGAGGTCCATGTTGAAATCCTCCATGGTAAAAAGGGATCAAGGTAATTCAAGGGTTGAGCAATGCTCCGTTACCCTGGAGAAGGTATCCGACCAACAGGCACGGAGTACGTGGGTGGCCTTGGCCACGTCTAGTTCCGCATCCTGCCCCTAGAGCATACTTTATCGCTACAAGGTTGCGGGAAATGACGAGGGACAGCTGCCAGCGCTCAACTCTCTCCAGGGCCGCTCTCTCTTACTCTCTCCGGAACTTCGGTCTGTTGTAGGAGCGAGGTTTGGGCCACCCCCCGCCCTCGGCATTACCCTGCTAAGCTCAGAGCCTCAGATGCGCAGGGCGCTGACTGTAGGACGTCCACTTGCCCCCTTCTCTCCTCCCTCCCCAGCCCGCCTTAGTCCCAACCGCCAGGTTCAGTCTGGACATCCGCACTGCGGCTCTCAAGCCTCCCCATTGTCCCGACGATCTCCCCGTGGTAAGCCGCTGTCGAGTTTCACATGCCGCCGTAGCACCGGGCCGTGCGCGCGAGGACCATATTGCGGTCTGCTCTCTCCTCAACACTGCACTGCGTTTCCCCAATTCATCCGTTGAATGTGCTTCTGTGCCACGCAGATTTTGACCACTTCACGACCTGTGTCACACCGAGTTGCCGGCTTACCGTTGCTGATTTGGTGATTCAAGAGCTTTCTCCTGATCTGTGGCACCCGTTGAGGCGCAGCATGATTCAAGACGACTAACTGTCCCGAGCTAGCCCGAGCCTCGAATGGCCCTAGGAAACAACAACAGTCTGTGCTATGAAGCATTTCAGTGTGGCTCAATTACTCACTTGGCATTGCGAATTGTGGCAACACCTGTCCGGAGACACACCGGTGAGTCACCGTAAAGCCGCAAGGCCATAGGAACTGCATCCTTTGACTGAGTAATCATCATATCTCTTTGTTGAATCATGATCGCAGAATGAGAGTTGGGACTTCTCGTGTCCTCCAAGCTTCCCGCTGAGACTAAGACTAAGTCTTGGCCACGGAGAAACATGGCGGATGATTGCCTAGGCAACTCTTAATTAGCAGCGTCCGTCGTGAACGCCACCCTCAATGGACCAACCTCCAAGAAGCTTCGATCCAAGTTCTAGCCCGGCGCCACCAATTTGTCAAGACCTCGATTTAGCTGTGATAATTCAACCAGTCAAGATCCTGACCGGGATCTAGTTCTCTCGTCCGTCCACCTCGGTTATTAAGAGACCGAGCAGCTTCTTAGCTGAAGACCTCTCAATGTTATTTGGATCCCGCCATCGTGTTCCCATCGGACACATGGGCAAAGTTGCAGTCTCCGAAAGACGGGTTTATGCCGTGAGTACTAAGATATTTGAAAGCTGGGGCCAGGAGCAGGCATGCATTAACGGCATTGATGGCGAGTTCGTCCCAGGTCCAACCATCACGTACCTTGTCGACGGGTAAATCCCTTCTGCCCCAAGCTTCCAGCCATCTCAACTCTCGCGACCAGAATTGCGGACAACGATGCAAGGGGTCGAAAGCCATTTCCATGCGCCTGGTTCTTCCGCCTTGCAGTGAAGCCTGCCAGGCGATCCAAACCCTGCGTCCGCATGAGTATCTGCAGATGCTTCGCAAGCTGTGGCTGAGCATGTCATGATGTGCATGTTCGTGACGGTTAAAAGCCCCAAACAGGAGGACGTTGTGCAGCACAAAACATCAACCGAAGTCCAAGCATTGTGCCTCTGCAAGCTGTACCCCGCGTTTGAACCAGAGAGGGGCGACAAGGATGTGTTAAGCCGAGAAGTGTGTTTCTCGGGCCTCTCGTTTGTGGTATGAGAAAGCGAGCTGTTTCCTGTTCGCTACGGTGCCTCACCAACGGGGTTGCAGAAACAGAACAGCAGCAGCAGCAGCAAGATGAGCTCGGCGCGCTCAGAGTTGGACCATGCACCCTGTGAATATCAGGGCCACAAGACTAGGGATGAAGACAAGGAAACGTCCGGACAAACCTCCAGAGTGCCAAGAAAAAACAGGTCTTGACGCACTTTCTGCAGGAACTCTTCACATACGACAGCGATGAGATCGTCTTCTCTCTCGTCGAAAGAAAACGCGCGAACTAGCGGCCCGTGCCCCCAACCAACCGTCTCCGGGAGGCCAACCTCTAGCGGCAAATCCTGCCAGGGGAACGAGGAGGGGGAAAGGTGTGGCTCGGTCTGCGCGCCAAGATTGCACGGCGTCGAAACATGTCAGGGCAGCCCGTGCTGCTGCTTCTGCAGTTTTAGCATCACATGCCTATTACCGGTTCCCCAAGAAGAATGTCATTGCGAATTTGTAGTGCACGGCGTATTTCCGGAGCGTAGGAGGAGAGGTCCGGTGATTTGCCTCCGGGTTTTGATGGGGCTGGGTGCCGTGTAACTAAGGGATTATTTGCCATCTTCTGCTCATGCTGTTCTGCACATGATCAAGTCAGCTGTTCTGCTGAAAGCGATTCACGTACGTCGTCCTATGAGTATGATGGCAGACCCCCAGTGTCTTCGTTGACGTGCGCATCACGCTAAGATCTTCTTTTCTCCTCTCCTATATCACTCCCAGGGGGCCAAGAACGATATGCAAAGGCAAGGCTTCGTCGCCGCTGTTGACCAAGAATCATCCAGTCTCGCCTCTCGCCTCTCGAGCAGCACCTCACGCAGCGAAGCACAGGATAGCATGTTGACGTCACAAGCTCGCCTCTTGCGAAGGACGAGGCAGATGATGCAGTACATCATGCGCACTGCGGAAGGTTTTCTAAAGTATGTGATGTATTTCTATGGTAAGCAATCAAGACCACGTGCAGATGCAGACGTATGATTTCCCCGTCGATGCGCACCATCTTTCGCCTCATTATCTGTCAATTCGACGCTGGAAATCCAATTTCTGCCAGGATACCCGCCATGCGATCGCAACCAGCTTTTTCGGCGTCGTCTGTTGTTGTGGGTGATGTTGCCATTTGGGAAAGCGGTGGCCTGACCTGCTGGGAGGCCGGTGAGCCCAAGAACCGACCGATGGAGTACCCCGGATCCGACATGACGGGAATTGCGGGGCGTTTCTCCGGCCGTGTCAGAGTGAGCGGCGGGGATGTTGGCTGTTCTTCAACGGACCTGCGGGGTAAGTGTTAGCTAATCGCTCTCAAACAGTTTTTACAGGTGGCGATGTACAAACCTTTGATTGAAGCCGCAGACTGCAGCTGTTGATGAGGTGGGCATGCTGAAGGCTTCATAGGTACCCTGTTCGGGTAGGGGTCGGGGGAAGCAGTGGTTCGTCTGGGCGGTGCCGGTGGCATCCAATGAGTGGGTCCCCGGGAACAGTGGGTCTTCCGGTTCAATACCTTCCGGTTGTCGTGCACCGAGCTGGAAGGAAGACAAGGGAGGATCAAGCACCGTGATGTTGAGAGCGTTCGCGATACTATCTGATGAAGATGCACGATGAGCTTGAACTCCATCGTTCGCGACGATCGAGCCAAAGAGGATGGGTTGGTGTATTTAAACGTCATCAGCATCGCACCCTGACGAGAGAGGCATAGATGGACCTGCTGTTCATGGTGGGTAGAAAGCCAAACCCGAGGACTTGGAGGGAGCCTTGCGCTAAAGGTACGCCTCCTGCCATCGACAACCACCGCCAGAGTTGGCGTGGGGGATGAACATCGTGGCTTTCTCAGCAAGTGACGTGATGCCGTGTTCTAGGCCGTTGCGCCGGGCTCCATGTCAACGATCTCCGGCAAGGCAATCTTCCACTTTGAATAGCCGTTGAACGGGTCGCGGCCTATCCCAGACAACAAGAACTCGCTTCACGACCCCTTCAGTTGAGTCTGCGAGGCGTCGACAGCGTGGACTAAGCAGTCACCCGGCCCTACAACTCCGCGAATCTCACAGAGATCTACGCCCTCCCCTGTGGTCTGGACTTTTCGATTTTGATTGTCTGGGGTAGGAAATCTGAGAATGCCATGAATGGTCTGCAGTGTTACTGCAACAGCTGACTCGGCCCCTTGCGCTCACGTCCTAATGGAGGAACCACAACGGCGTGTCTGCGGACCAAGCTCCGGCTCGCTGCAGATGAGACACCACACCGCAGCAGGATCCGGCTTGCAATGTGTAAAAAGACCCGTCCAGGCCTTTCTCTCGTAACCGCCGAGCAACGTGCAGAATGGAAACGCTGACGTCACGGAGATCTCTCAATTAAATCCGGAGCTGTGTCCGGCAAGAGGAGGACTTCAGTGTCGCAACGAAGCAGTAAGGCAGCCAAAAGGTGGTCTGAATTGGATGGAAGGGTCCTGGAGAAATAGGGTCCAGACTGGAGGCTGGACCCTGGGCATCAGCCCTCCCTGCGCCGCAGCGACACGGCAGCCATTGGCTGTTGATGGTTGGTTGATCTCACTGCCTCGCGCCTTCGGGTCCGATGATTTCGTGGAGCATACGGCTTGTTGAGCAATGACGTATGCTGCTCGATTATCTTCAATCGAGTGTTGCTTGTCTTGGCCATGAGGAAACAGACGTTTTCGTAGCTCCATGCTAAGCCAAAGGGGTTTGCGACGGTGATGTTGCTGCTACTGGGGAGATATTGCCAGCGCCGTGCATTGGATCGTGAAATTGGGCTCCTGACACGATGCCTATTCCAGAAAAGGATCAGCCATCCAGTTCGTTTTCCTACGAAGAAGGCTTTCGAAATCGCGCACTCGAGACATCGGGGATTGACAAAATTCCCATGGTCAAAAGTCGCCAATCTACCATCCGGTTCACTCGTGGATGGACCCTGAGAAGAGCATTTGGGGGTGTGCAGGGGTGCTAAGCGGGCGCATGGCACCCCGAAATCTGCTTTCAAAATCAGGGCAGAGGGCGCCAATCCCAAGGGAATCCTGTCGGATGCCTCGCCGGCAAGCCCTGGGATCGACCGAACAGCGCAATCCAGACCGGTCTTTTAGTCCTCGAGTGTCCAAGATGTGCAGTCCCTTCACTTTTTGTCGTATGACTTCCCTTTCCCCTGGAGTTTTGTCCCAGCCTGTTCTGGCAAGGCAAGGCAAGGCAACCAAACGACGAGCGATGATTCTGGAGACTACCTCAGATGCAACCAGTGTCTTTCAGCTGATGACGTCACGGAAATCCTCCGCTGCCACCGGCTCTGCACTGCCCCGCACCTCTAGGAATCAAGCACGCTGTCTTGGCCCTAAGATCCAAGTGCTCATCATGTATTATCATTACTACTGTGTTGGTATCTAGGGGGTCGGGAATGCCATCAATATCGATGGTTCGCTATGGATTTTGTACTGTAGGGCAATAAGGAGAAGCTGCCTCCACTCGTCTCCTCCTCAAAGCGCGCCTGCCATCGTGGCCACCTCTTATTCGTCCAGCACTTCCCACAGGCTATTGAGGATGAACACCGAAACTGAAATCAAAATCCGTCATCTGTCCGAACACGAAGCTTGCTTCCGTGGGCATAGGCACAGGAAGGGGCACAGGCAAGTTCGCTGCAAGCAGTCGCCCTCCTGTGTGGTGTGTCGAGAGAGTCCCTCGGGGTGGTCGACTGCGGCTCGCTTCGACCGGCTCCGATATCTTTCGTCTTTTGTTCTGCGCCGTTCGTGTGGTCGAATAGACCAATTTTTCCTCCTTGTTCTTGATCCATTCACAAGCTAAGACACCGAAGCGGACCTTGCTGGGATGTTTGTGCTTGCTGAACTTGCTTTGTGTGGCGTACTGGTTGAATCTCTTACGGACCCAGGACAGCGTATCGAGAACCTTATCCCTGACAATCCATTCATCCTCGTCCACTTCCTCAAACAGGTGACGCGCGCTCTTGTACCTTCGAGGTGACCCCTCATCAGCAGCCTTCAATCTGCCTGTGCCTACAAAGACAGACTCGTCAGCAACTTGCCTCAGATAACCTGGTAGGCTTCCTTACTTTTGCTGGCACCATCGCGCGGGCACGGTTGAGGGTCGTCGCAATCAGCCATGGGTATATCGAAGTCGTCATCGTCCTCCGGTCGAGGTTTCCGCAGGATCATGTAGTCAACGAAGTAGAAAGCCTCGAGATTTGGAAGGTGTCGAGCCAGGAATTCATACAGGTGAAGGGGATACGTTCTCTTACGGCTGCCAAAGTGATGTTCCCCGCATAGTCGACAGTAGTAGCCTGATGTCGCGCCTTCCCACTGAGGACAGTACTGGACGGCGACTCGACGAATGTTGGCGAGCTGGTCGCAGCTGATATTCAGAGCCAAGCGACAGCCGGCTCCCATTGACTTCAACGGAATGTATTCCAACAAAACGACATCGTCTGCGGCACCCAGAGATATCGCACGGCCGTCATCAAGCTTCAGAGTTTTTGGATGGCTGGCCAGACGCTGAACCACGGACCTTGCCTCGGAGCAAGTGACAGAAAGAGTGGCCATGATTTGGTTGACGGAGACGTGGTTGGACAGGTTGGCTCGAGGCGCCGCGAATCGAGGCTTCAACGTTGCTGGTACAAGGGGGCCATGGCGTCTCTCCTGGGAAAAGTCGGGTAGAACGTCGTCATCCTCGTCATCGCTGTCCGGGGGGCCAAGGGCTACGGACCCGTGGGATACAAAAGAGCGGGCTTTCGTATCGATGCGGAGATATTGCATTCCAGGCTCAAAGATGGCATCCTCCCAAATTTGCTGTCGAATCTCGGTGGGGAGTTTGGGAAACGGAGCGAACGAGCGGACAGAAAGCGGAATGTCGAACTTGAAAGCGAATGCCATGCTGGACGATTCCGTGACTCGATTGATCTTTTGGGCAATCAGCGAAAGACTTTATGGAGCGATACAATAATGGTGTTGGCAGACGTGGAAGATGTAGTCGGGAGCCGGGCCGGAAAGCGAACGTCAGTGATGCAGGTCTCGGTCTCGACCTCGATGAATGACTCTGCTTTGTGGTTGCTTCGATGACTGCGTGGGAAGGAACCGCGAGGAGGTGAGCAGGAATGAAAGGAAGGTAAGAGGCCAACGGCACCTTGTGAACCTCGACCCGACGTTGTGGACGGGAAGTTGCATCTCGGTTCTGGGATGAAGTCCGGCAGACTGGAATGGGAAAGCGGGAACCCGAATGAGTTGTCACTGCCCAAAGTGAATGCGAACCCGCCACGCCACGTGTGGTTTATTAGGCAGGAACAACTCAGACAGGTGGGTAAGGTCCGTACCTGCCTTGCCTTGCCTGCCTCTTCGGTGAATATGGGAAATCCCACGAAGAACCTTACTGCCTCACACCTCGCCTTTACATCCCATCGCCTGCCTCACCAATATCCCATCTTACCGACGCTTGTCATCAGCATGCAAGTTCTTGGTTGCTAATGCTGCATGCCACGACCTGCCACATTCCATAGCATAGACTGCATCGCATGGGACCGACGGGCTTCAACCGCGATAATATTCTATTAGAAGAGAGGATAACGAAAGGATGGTATGCTATGCGTCTCTCATGATGCAATATTCTTAACCCAACGCACAGCAGCGCGAAAGTCATTTCCAATGGGTTCCCGATTTCTCCTCGCCTCTTCTAACCCGCCCTTCCGGTAACCGCCCGGAAAACACAACCATAAAAGAAAGAGGACAATCAGCACCGACAACGCGATGGGCTGTAGCACCCAAACTCCTCGGCTGTTCGCAATGGCTCCGATGCCAAACGGAATGATGGCACCGCCAGCCCCGCCAAATGCTGCAGCGAACCCGATGACGCTGACATGGTTATCCCTCGGCAGTAGCTTCGCGGCCGCGACGATGGCTGCTGGGAACAGCGGGCCGAGGAAGAAACCGAGCAGCATCACGAAGATGACCGATGCGACAAAGTTTGGAACGAGCCAATACAGCAGCTGCAGGACGATAGACAGGAGGACGTACACGGCGATGGCCCGCTTCTCTCCCACGCGACCTGTGACGAAGCCCAGTACCAGTCGACCGAGCGTCAAACCGAGCCAGAACAGCACCGTGGTGATGCCGGCGAGGAACGGCTCGGCGTGCCGCACGCGCAGCATGAAGGTCACGATCCAGCCGCCCAGTGCGACTTCTATGCCCACGTATGCGAGCAGGTAGAACGCGAGAAGCCATGTGATCGGTTTACGGATCACTGCTACCGTCGACGTGTGGTTGGCGCCGTCCGTCGACGAAGGGTGTTTCTCACGGTGCACCTTGCCCGTGGCTTTCCAGAATGCAGTCGAGGTGAGGATGAAGGTGAGGGCCGTCATGGCCGTCATGACGTAGTAGAAGTTGAACCACTCCAGGTCGGCCCTTGCAACCATGGCAGAGGCGATGAGGGGACCAACGGTCGCACCGAGCCCGTATGCGCCGTGGAGGAACCCGAGTAGCTCGTTCGAGTTCTGCATGTTACCGATCCAGGCGTTCCAGCCGCTGTCCTCGAGACCATTGCCATATCCTGTCACCAACAGGGCGAACGGCAGAACTGGGTACGGTGGGTGTAGGGCCAGGGGGAGGAAGCCGATGGTTCGGGCTATTGGCCCGATGATCGCAATGCCTCTCTGGCCCAGTTGATGATGGATGAAGTTGTTCGTGAGAGCGGCAATGATGTAACCGATAAATGGTGCTAGGAAAAGGAGAGAAACGACCGTATATGAAACGTCGTAGTAGCTCTCAATCTGTCACCGGATCAGCAGAGCTCAACAGCATCTTGACGGTGTGGTCAGCCCACATATGGAAGCAAGGCCTGCGATAATCGTCAGCGATGGTCTCGGATGAGCGTACAGGAGGGAATCTTACGCCGACGGCTCCATCGTTCATGCCCATCACGATGAAGCTATACAAAGTGGCGACATATCGGAAAGCGTTCGTCCGAGTCCCGTTCCATTTCTCAAGTTCCGGCTCGTGTTCCTGGCTCCAGCTGGGTTGACGCTTCTCGTCCGTCTCCATAAGACTGAGCGACGAGGGGGTTCGCGATAAGTTGGGAGGGTTGATCGGGTCTAATAACCCGACGTCGGAGGAAGATATCGACTTGAGTGGCGGAGCGCGCATTTCTTGTTGAGGAGGTGTTCCTGATGAGATCAGAAGAACCCATATATCCTAATATCCCATGCATTATCGACAGCAGCAGGATGCGGGGTCGCTTTTGCCGGATTGGCCTGCCGGGAGCGCAGCCGCGGCGCCCGTTCTCCCACACGATCATCAAGGTTTGCTGAGGCCGAGCACGTTAACCTTTGAACGGTGCGACAGCCCGCGTTTTCAAGTATTCTCCGCTCGTGTATTGAATTCCGAGGATGACCCAAACGAACCACGGCCGGACGTGTGGACGCCCCGGATCCGGCTCGGAGCCGACGTATGACCCCGCCGTCTGACCACCAAAAGCCTCCGAACGGCCCCCAACAGCAAGGAGGGAAAGCCTCCGAATGCGTCTTACGAGGGGTTTGCGTCTTGCAACAGACGACAGTGCACAACGTTCATCACTGACCCAGAAAATAAAAGCGCCTTCTCTATTCTTGGAAGAACAAAAGGAAGAAAAAATATGACCATCGCCCGCCATCCGAATCAAAAACGGTCAGCGTGCGAGAGGTGTCGCCGACAAAAGCTTCGATGCTCCCGCCAAGACACGGAAGAAGAAGCCCGCTGTTCGCGGTGCGCGCGACTGGGGTTCCCTTGTGTCGCCGGCCAGCAACGGCGGATCGGCCGGCCCACGCGCGCCAAAACCCAGGGAAACAATGTTTCGAATGACCGAGACCGAGGCTGCGATCGTGAGGCAGCGCAGGAGGAGGACGAAGGAGATGGAGATGGAGATGGGGATGAGGCTGCGGGTCTCCGCGGGGACGACCTGTTGTTGGCTGAAATTGCGGCCGCGGAGACCACGCCGCCAGTGGCTGCGAGATTTGGAGAGGAGGTGGCCGAAGTTGGTGTCGACGTTCAAATTGACCCCCTTCTTTGCGACTTTGAGTGGGATGAAACGGACTTCGCCGTTGACGTCGGCGACCACTTAACGGGCTCTCAAGAGACAGCTGCACGTCCGCTGTCACAGCTGGATGCGACAATACAGCACGAAGCATTCGTTAGGCTGTCCAAGGTCAACGTCGACCTCCACCTGCACCTGTCCAAGGTCGATGACCACCGGCAGCATATGGATCTGTGCTCCTTCATCTACCCCGATTCCGTGCTCAGCGTTGATTCTGTCACGCTGGCTGAGCTCGCTCTCGTCATTTTCCAAGACTTCGTGACTGTTCTTTCGACTCTGGCCAAGTCATTGAAACAGGCGGCAGTTGACTTGGCCATCCTGCCAAGCCAAGACGCTGTTCCATCTCTGCCGTGGGATAACTCTGGCGGGCTGCCGACCGGTCTAGGCTGGGTCGTTCCGTCGGAAGGCTTCCCATCGCGGGACATCATGAGTCCGTCAACCGCAACGTCCGCGCCCGAGGCCGTAGGTCCGCCTTTGGCTCTCGTCATCACAAGCTGCTTCGTCCAAATCATCACCCTCTTTGAGTCGATCACCCTCCACATCCACAAAAGACTCGAATCACTCGCCGTGGATCCCCTGACGCCAATTGAGGGTCTCAAATTCGGGGCCTTCTGGATTGGTGATGGACATCTGCAAGGCATCATCTTCACCCAAATCATCACCAGTCTCTTGGAAAGAGCTGATCGTCTTCTCGGCCTGCGAGACCATGATACTTCGAGGTGGGGCACATCGCCGCATCAGGCAATTCTATCCAGTGAGCAGCGCGATATACTGCGTGGTCAACTCAAGGAAGTGACAGGTGACTCGCTGTTGCGGACAGAAAAGCTTAGAGACAGCCTCGAAATAATGAGAAGTCGTCTCACGGAAGCATCAGCGCAAAGCACTTAGACTTCGCGCCTCATTAAATGTTGAAAATCAGTGGATCAAATCTGGCGATCAATGCGCGTCGGACCCTAGTGGAAATCACTTGAGGTCTCAACCCATGAAGCCCCACGCGTGGTGTCGAAGATCATGAGGTTCCGGTGGGATATCCGACGTGTCCGGAAAGTCGGCTTCGTGGCCCTTGAAAAGGCGGGGAATGTCGACGACAGATTCGCGTCCATGGCCCCTCTTAGGAGCAGAGAGTTTAGGGGCATCATGATACCTAAGACTCTGTTTTCTAACATGTGGATAGTGCGTGGAGAGCGTTGACGGACCCTAATTCGAGTGATCAGGTTGCTGTCGAAGCATCTGGAGCCCAAGCCCTCAACCGCCCCCAACCGCCGGTTGATGAAACAAACAAACCGCAAACACCAAACGACAGGGCCATCAAGTCCATGTCTGGAATCCCGATGCCATCGTATACTCGGCTTCATAAAAAAATTCCATCATCATCCGTTAATCAAACTCATTCGCATCGGCCGATTTACCCGCTCAATATAACTCGGCATCCCACGGAGAATACCAAGTGGGCGCACGCGGCACCCATCGTTCCGCGGCAGTTTGTTCCGTTTTAGAGTGCTCTTTTGACCTCAAATCTGCTCAGACTGGCCCCACTCCATAACATCGTCCGCCAAGTATATCAACCGACATGGGCGCCCTTCCTCAACGCAACGTCCAAAAAACTCTGTTCGCTGCTCAGACTTATTTCATGAAACATTTTCCAACTTCAATGACTTGGAAGAGAGCTGAAAATTGCTTCAAGTCGACCGCAACCACCCACCACATCCATGCCGCCGGCATTCTGACGCCCGCCCTCACGTCAAGTTCGTCTCACAGCTTCGAGTCAGCCATCGGATTAACACCATGGAACGAACTCAACACGATGTCGAGTCGA